CCATCATGAGAATCATCCCCTTCATGGGGGAGTATTGTTCTATCGTGGGGGTCCGTTATTCCCATTCCCGGATCTCCCGCCCAATGAAGTCTTGCAAACACCTCCCCCGAGGAATTTCAACATATCCCGCCTCGAAACATGCCCGCGCCCTGCTGCGCCGATGCGAGACCGCCAGTTGAGCCCCAGCCAAGGGTAAAGCACAAGGAAGTATCGAGCGACTGGATTGGCTTGGTGGGGATGGGGGCTGTCGGCGGAGAGGCAAGGACCTGGCCCTGAATAGAAACTGAAGAAGTCTCGAGCAGGGGTGCTGCTGTTGCTGGGAGCGGCGCCAGTGCAGAAGAGAATTGGGCGCTAGTTCAACGTAAAACAAAACGAAGTCTCGAGCGGGAGCGCTGGTTCTGTTGGGACGGCGGTTGCCAGCGGCGAGGAGGAACACTGCCTTGAGTAAGAAGGGAAGAAGTCTCGAGCGGGGGGAGCCGCAGTTTTGTCGGGACGGGGGCTGTCGGCGGCGAGGAACAGCACCGTTCTCCGGAAAAAGGGAGGAAGCCTCGAGCGGGAGCGTTGTTCTTGCTGGGGGCGGCGCCAATTCGAAAGAGAGTTGGGCGCCAGTCCAGCGTAAAACGGGAGGAAATCTCGAGCGGGAGCGCTGGTTTTGTTGGAGCGGCGGTTTTCGGCGGCGAGCAAGAGAACCAGCTCTGATTAAAAAAGGTGGAAATCTCGAGCGGGAGCGTTGTTCTTGCTGGGGGCGGCGCCGATGAGAGAAAGAGCAGCGCGCCAGTCCAGGGTAAAACGGGAAGAAGTCTCGAGCGGGAACGTTGGTTTTGTTGGGGCGGCCGACGGCGAGCAAGAGCACAGGCTCTGAGTAAAAAAGGAGGAAGTCTCGAGCGGGAGCGTTGTTGTTGTTTGGTGGCCGGTTTGGGCGCCCCCCCAAACCGCTCGAGCGTGAGCCTCATTTTCAATGAAAATGTAGTTGGCACCGAGGCGAGAGCGCCAGGGCGCCTGGGGGGCCCAACAGTAATAACTGTTTAATGATTAACAACAACACCAATCATTTTAAGACTGTTCGCTCTTATCTGCTCGAGTTTCCGTTAACGCGTATTTCCCAAACCCTCGATACCCACCCTCTTCGTCTTCGATCGTACCCGTTTTTGAGGGTATACCTTTCTTCCCTGCAGGCCAGCCCCGGCAAGCGGCGGAGCGGCCGCGGACCGTCCTGGCCAGCGGCAGCGCTGATCGGCGGCAGCCCGACCCCAAGAGGAACGGACAGGACACCGACCACGACGACGACGACGACGACGACGACGACGACGACGACGACGACGACGACGACGACGACGTGGACGACGACGATGGCGACGACGACGACGACGAGCGAAAGCGAGAGGAGCGAGAGAGAGAACGACAGCGGGGCCACGAAGGGCACGAAGTAGGCCACGAAGGGCGACAGCGGGGGCACGAAGGGAGTGCGTATGGGGCCACGAAGAGCGCGAACGAGCGGGGGCCACGAAGGGCAGATAATGCGGGGCCGCAGAAGGCAACGACGGGGCCACTGAGTGTAGCAACCGGGCCGCGTAGGACAAGACGGGGGCCACAAAGGGCGACAGCAGGTCCACGAAGGGCATGCACATGGGGCCACGACGGGCGCGACCGAGCGGGGGCCACGAAGGGCATACGTATATTGGGCCGCGGAGGGCAAGGACGGGGCCACTGAGGGCAGCAACGGGGCCACGAAGGCAGCGAGGGGGCCACGAAGGGCGACAGCGGGGCCACAAAGTGCATGCATGTGGGGCCACGACGGGTGCCAACGAGCGGGGGGCACAACGGGCATACATATATGGGGCCACGGTGGGCAGCGAGGGGGCCACAGAGCTGCGACGGGGCCACGAAGGGCAGAGGGCCACGATGAGCTGCAACGGGGCCACGAAGGGCAACGAGGGGGCCACGAGGGACTGCAACGGAGCCCCGAAGGGCTGCAACGGGGCCACGAAGGGCAGCGAGGGGACCACGAAGGGGTGCAACGGGGCCACGCAGGGCAGCGAGGGGGCCACGAAGGGCTGCAACGGGGCCACGAAGGGCAGCGAGGGGGCCACGAAGGGCTGCGACGGGGCCACGCAGGGCATCGAGGGGGCCACGAAGGGCTGCAACGGGGCCACGAAGGGCAGTGAGGGGGTCACGGAAGGCTGCAACGGGGCCACGGAGAGGAGTGAGGGGGCCACGGAGGGCTGCAACGGGGCCACGAGGGGCAGCGAGGGGGCCACGAAGGGATGCAACGGGGCAACGAAGGACAGCGATATCCCGATTCTCAAATGAGATGCGAGGGGGTCCTAAGCGTGAGCGCCGCTCCTGGGTGCCTGAGTGTCGGGAGCGCGCCGCTTGTGCAAATTGCAAGAGATTCCAACGCAAGGGCGCTATTCTTGAGTAAATTATACGCAAGTCTCCAGCCAGAGCGTGACCCCCGAGCGCCAAAAGAGCAAATCCTGCATACGTTGTAAGGAAATCTTAAGCGAGAGCGCAATTCCTGACTGAAATGCGAGGAAGTCTCAGGCGGGAGCGGGGGTCCTGGCTAAATTGCGAGGAAATCCCAGGCGGGAGCCGTTGTTGTTGTAACCTGGGGGCCACGGGCACAGCTTGAGCACCAAGACTTCCCCTGTAAATAAACAGGGTGCGAGCATCGAGGGGCACAGTTTGATTGAGAAAAAACAATATGCATTGGTGAGGGGGATCAACCGTATTTATTGGTTGTACTGAGAGTTCAACAACAACAACAACAACAACAACAACAACAACAATCATTTAAGACTGGGGACACTCCGTTCTCACCAGTGCCAGGGTTTTCATAGGAGGCGGGCAATACCCCCACTTTGTGGGGGGGCCGGTTCAAGCTCTACCAAATTTCCAAACGACTCTTCGCCACCACCCACACCCAGCTTCCCGCCCTATGACGTTCGGACACTTCACTTCGTGGCATGCGGACGACCGTGGCTACTATTCAGGGCCCCGCGGCCGACGACGACGGCGTGCGCGCGCGAAGAAAAAACGAATGTGTCCCGCATGGTATTATTTGACAGGGATGATGGCCCTGGCAGGTGCGCAACCGTTGTTGCAGAAGTTCGAAAAAGTTGCTCGCAAAAGCCCGTTTGACAGAAATGTTTAAAAAGTGTTGGGTTTCCTACGAATCCGCAAGAGCGCGCGGGATGAAATTTTGACATTTTTTTTTTTTTTTTTTTTTTTTTTTTTGAAAAACCATTGGCTTTTTGATGGTTTTATGTTAAAATCGCTACGAAACTAAGGTTTTGGAAGGATTTCGTCTTGCGCGCGCGAATGTCCACTTTACATTATTTTTTGCAAGGGATTCTTGAAGTTTGGATATGTTAGAACAAGAAATTTCATTTTATAGTGTTTTTTGACAAGGAAAGCGGGCGTCAACAAAACAACCGGATCTGGATGACATCGTTTCACCTGAGACTTCCTCACGAAAATGATGAAAACGTGGCTGCGGCCTAGGCGCGGCGAGGGGGGCGTGCACCAGGGGGCCCAACAATAATTATTCTTTAGGAGTAATAATATTCAACAACAACAACAACAATTACTAACACGTGGGGACACTCCGTTCTCACCAGTGCCAGGGTTTTCATAGGAGGCGGGCAATACCCCCACTTTGTGGGGGGGCCGGTTCAAGCTCTACCAAATTTCCAAACGACTCTTCGCCACCACCCACACCCAGCTTCCCGCCCTATGACGTTCGGACACTTCACTTCGTGGCATGCGGACGACCGTGGCTACTATTCAGGGCCCCGCGGCCGACGACGACGGCGTGCGCGCGCGAAGAAAAAACGAATGTGTCCCGCATGGTATTATTTGACAGGGATGATGGCCCTGGCAGGTGCGCAACCGTTGTTGCAGAAGTTCGAAAAAGTTGCTCGCAAAAGCCCGTTTGACAGAAATGTTTAAAAAGTGTTGGGTTTCCTACGAATCCGCAAGAGCGCGCGGGATGAAATTTTGACATTTTTTTTTGAAAAACCATTGGTTTTTTGATGTTTTTATGTTAAAATCGCTACGAAAACTAAGGTTTTGGAAGGATTTCGTCTTGCGCGCGCGAATGTCCACTTTACCTTATTTTTTGCAAGGGATTCTTGAAGTTTGGTTATGTTAGAACAAGAAATGTCCACTTTAGCTTATTTTTTGCAAGGGGAACCGGAACCCGTTTTGCCTGAGACTTCCTCACGAAAATGATGAAAATGAGGCTGCGGCCTAGGCGCGGCGGGGGGGTCGTGCACCAGGGGCCCCAACAATAATTATTCTTTAGAAGTAATAATGTTCAACAACAACAACAACAACCATTTTAAGGCTGTACGCTCTTACTTGCCCGCGAGTCATTCAACACGTATACCCGACACCCTCGATACCCGCCCTCTTCGTCTTCGATCACACCCCTTTCGGGGGGATTATTTCTCTTTGCTGGGGCCGGCGGGCTTAGACGTACGGGCAAACCGGAACGGGCGGACAATCCTTCGGGGGCGTACATCTCTCTGCCCGCCATTGGAATTGGCGCGGGCCCTGCAAGAGGAGGAGGGGAAGAACGAGGGAGAGTGGGAGGAAGGGGAGGGGGAAGGACGAAGGAAGAGGGAAGATACCACGTTGTGAAGGCGTCCTTGGCGCGCGCGTGGTTCCTGAGCGCCGAAACGCAATTCCAGAATAATTTGTGAGGACGTCGCACGCGAGAGCGCAGTCCTGAGTACATTGTGAGGAAATCTCAGGCGGAAGCGGGGGCCAACAACAACAACAACAACAACAATAACGCAACAGGCAGAATCTTCACCACGGGTCGACACTTCAGCCACGCACCCAAGGACAATGGATGACCGTTCGGCCCCCTCACTTTGATCAGGATCCTGGAAGTAGCGCCTACAGGTCTATTCAGGGCCGTCCACGGCTAAGACACCTATCAGGATCTTGGAAGCAGTGCCTACAGAGCTATTCAGGGCCGTCTACGGCTAAGACTCATCATCTTCATCCACCCTTCCACCCTCATCATCATGACCTCCGCGGCCGTTTGGGTTCAAGCAGCAAGGCAACTCCCCCAGCGAACCTGCCCTGTGCCCCCCGCACCTCCCCCACCACCAGCCCTACCACCTTTGGGATAGAATCCGCCCGTCAGCTTCCCTGGGCCCCTGGCCTTGCACTTCGACTGACAAATTTCAAATCCCCATCGAGGGGTTTTAGACCCTGCCAGCTACCAGCCTGCTCACGAGGCAGAGATGGAGACGAAGAAGGCTTCGGATGGCAAGAAGATGGCTAGCGGCTCCAAGGCCGCGGCCGCGAAGTCCTCCCTGAAGTTCCTCACGCCCCAGGCGCTCGCGGGAGCCATCGTGGGCCATGGAGGGTCCAAGATCGCTGCGATGCGCAGTGAGAACAGCGCCGGGATGCAGCTTTCAGACCGCAAGGAGACGTACCCCGGCACTGACAGCCGCCAGCTCACCCTCACGTGCGAAAGCGAGGAGGCACTCCTCAACCTCACCACAAAGATTCTGAAAATCCAGTTGGAGCTAATCTCACCGGAGGAGCTTCAGAAAAGCAATAATGACCAATGGATTGCCAGAGAGTCCCTCGGCAACGACAGCGAGCTCAAGATCTGCCTGCTGGTCCCCCGCGCGGCCGGCGGCGGCATCATCGGCAAGGGCGGCGCCAGTATCAAGCAGCTGCGCGAGTCCAGCGGAGTGAAGAGGCTGGTCATCAGCGACGGCGAGCCCAGCAGCATGGGCCCTGCTTCCGACCAGATGGTCAGCATCACCGGCTCCCTGAAGTCGTGCCAGGCCGTGATCAAGGAGGTGAGCAAGCAGATCCAGGCGCTCAGCGGGGAGCTGTGGTTCGGCGCCTGGCTGGCGTCGACTCCAGCTGCGACCAGCGGCTGGGAGGGCGGCGGCTCCGATGCCGAATGGGGCTGGAATGATTGGAACAGCAGCTGGGACTGGAACAGCGACTGGAACAGCGACTGGAACAGCGACTGGAACAGCGGCTGGAACGACGGCTGGGGCCACAGCAGCGGTGGCCCGAGCAGCAGCGGCCCCAGCCTGGACACTCTCGTTCAGGCTGCGTGGGAGACGCCCCCCAAAGTCCTGGAGGACTCCCGCGGCTTCGCGATGAGCTGCATAGTGCCCAAGAATCTCACCGGCGGCCTCATCGGCCGCAACGGCCAGAACGTCCAGAAGGTTAAGGAAAGGACCAACGCAGACATCTCCATCCGGCCGATTCCCGATGACCCCGACAACAACACCCTGCACATCGTCGGCCCCCTGCCCAACGCCTGCGCGGCGTACATGCTCATGATGAAGCTCTACCTGGACGCCGAGGAGTCCGCCAGTTGAGGCGGCCGAGGGCGCCAGGGTGCGATGTGCACATCCGCGTGGTCTTCTCCCACTCAGCCAGTGTCACTTCCTGGTGCCTGGCATGTACCACACTAGGCGAGAAAACCACGCGCCAGGCCTTCACAAGATCCTCAAAAAGTCATCACCTCATCATCGTCACCATCCTCCCAGCATCACCGTCCTGACCCTGACGCAGATCAGTTTGAGCTATGCGTCCACCCTTCGCGTGATCGAAGGCCAGGGGCTGAGGTCGCAGTGGAACGGAGAGCCCCCCCACCGGGAAATCGGTTTCGGTGTCATGTTGATGTCGTGCGTGCGGGCGAGGCGAAGTTGCGTGGGCGCGCGAAAGGAATGACCCCCGCCATCGCTACGGCGATTCGGATTGGATTCGGATGCAGTGGACCGCCCCTCCGCCCCCAGTGGGCGCGCGGTGCCCCGGGGGTGTCCCGCCGTGGTGTTCCACCGTGGTGTCCCGTTGGTGTCCCGCCGGTGTTCCGTCGGCCGTGGGCGGGCGGTGGTTAGGTAAGGAGGTTCGGAAGGGTGGATGAACAAATGTTTCACTTAATCGATCTCACGATCGATTTTACTATCGATCTCACTATCGATCTCACGATCGATCTCACCATCGATCTCACTATCGGTCTTACTTTCGATCTCACTGTCGCCCTTACTCGCGCTTTCACTACGGGGCACCGACTGGACACCGACGGGACATCATTATCGATTTCATGGTCGATATCATTCGATCGTTCTCATTATCGATCCAAGTATCTAACTTACCATCGATCTTGAACTCGTTCTCACATTCGGTCTCACAACCCTTATCACTATTGGTGGCACTATCGCTCTGACAGTAGATCTCACGATCGATCTCACGATCGATCTTGCTATCGATCGCACTATCGATCTCACTATCGATCTCACTGTCTGTGTGACTATCGATCTCGCTATTGGTCTCACTATCGATCTCATCATCGATCTCATAACGGGACACCGACGGGACACCACGGGGAAACCGCGCTACGGGACACCACGGGACACCACAGGACACCTTTTCACCGCTCCAGGCCGCAATTCGTGGGCGTTGGGGGCGCCGCCGGGCGAAGGAGACAGCCGCTGCAAGCTCTACGGGGCCAGGGGTGGCCGTGAGAGGCCCGGCCTGCCGTGGCCCGTGGCCGGAAGCGGACAGAGCGCTGAGGTCGCGTCGGAGGGCGGCAGCAGGATCGGGCGCGATTCGATCTCGCCACCGTGCCCGGGCTGTTGGTCGGGGGCCTCGTTGGGAGGCAAAGTTGGAGTCTCTCGAAGAGGAGGCAGGCGAGGGTGTGACGGAGCAGGGGGAGGAGCAGGACACGGGGGCCCTGCCGCAAGGCGACTGCTGGGTTGGGCGTTGTACACATCGAGTGACCGTCGGCCCATGTCGCCACCGTGCTGGGGTTAATGGGTCAGAGGGCTGTGTGGAGGCATTTGTGGGCCTGATGGGTGTCCCTAGCAAGGGCGACTTGGAGGCATTGTTGGGACCTGTTGGGGTCGTCTGGAGGCCTCTTGGCGGGATGTCTTAGTCTTGGGGGCAATCGTTGGAGGGATAGGTTGCCGAGAACCCTTCGCTTTCCCCATCTTGGGCTCCTCTGGGGGGGCCCAAGATGGGGTAAGCGAAGGACTCTCGGCAGTTTGGAGAGCTCGGTTTTCTTGGAAGTCGCCTGGCGCCAGGGTCGTCGGGCCGCCTAGCGAGTCTGCGGAGGAGCGGGGGGGACACGCGCGTGTGCACTGCTGGGAAGGGAAGGGAGTCCCTCAGAATATGTCAGGAACTTTGCTGGGCAGCATTTGGCATTCTACCACGCCTCTCGACGTGCCAGGGAGCCAGGGTGGCGGATTGGGAACGCCTAGAGGTATGAAAGCATCACAGCAGACGTGGTCACAGCACGAACAGGATCCTAATAGCGTTGTCAGCTCTAACAGAAGCGGACTATGTGTACCAGCTGATCTACTGGGTTCTTATTGGGGGGCCCTTCAGCGCTAACAGGATCCTGCGATACGCGCCTGCAGCGCCAATGGGATCCCATGGCGGGTACCTTCAGCTCATCTGGTGCCTACATCTGTGATTGGATCCTGTTAGGGATGCCTGCACTTCTTCTAGTACCGCCAGGCCGCATCAGTAGTTCCCGAGGAGGAGCGCGCACGCATCGATTACGGCCTCCGTTACCATTTGGGCTCAAGAAGCAAGGCACTTCCCCCAGCGAACCTGCCCCGTGACCCCCGCACCTCCCCCGCCACCAGCACTGCCACCTCCGGGCTACCAACCGCCCATCAGCTTCCCTGGGCCCCTGGCCTTGCACTTCAACTGACAAATCTCAAGTCCCCGTCGAGGGATACTCGACCCTGCCGGTCACCAGCCTGCTCCCATGGCAGAGATGGAGAAGGAGACGAAGCAAGTCTCGGACGACAGGAAGATAGCCAGCGGCTCCAAGGGTGCGACCGCGAAGTGTTCCCTCAAGTTCCTCACGCCCCATGCGCTCGCGGGAGCCATCGTGGGTCCTGGAGGATCCAAGATAGCTGCGATGCGCAACGAGAACAAAGCCGGAGTGCAGCTGTCAGACCGCAAGGAGACGTACCCCGGCACGGACAGCCGCCAGCTCACCCTTACGTGCGAAACCGAGGAGGCGCTCCTTGATCTCACCACAAAGATCCTGAAGATCCAGCTGGAGTTGATCTCCCCGAAAGAGCTTCAGAAGTCCAGTACTGAGCAATGGACCTCCAGAGAGTCCCTCGGCAAAGACGACGAGCTCAAGATCTGCCTCCTGGTCCCCCGCGCGGCCGGCGGCGGCATCATCGGCAAGGGAGGCGCCATCATCAAGCAGCTGCGCGAGTCCAGCGGAGTGAAGAGGCTGGTCATCAACGACGGCGAGCCCAGCAGCATGGGCCCTGCTTCCGACCAGATGGTCAGCATCACCGGCTCCCTGAAGGCGTGCCAGGCCGTGATCAAGGAGGTGAGCAAGCAGGTCCAGGCGCTCAGCGGGGAGGGGTGGTTCGGCGCCTGGGTGGCATCGACTCCAGCTGCGTCCAGCGGCTGGGAGGCCAGCGGTTCTGACTGGAACGACTGGAACAGCAGCTGGGACTGGAACAGCGGCTGGAACGACGGCTGGGGCCACAGCAGCGGTGGGCCGAGCAGCGGTTACTCGGGCCTGAACACTCTCGTTCAGGCTGCATGGGATACGCCCCCCAAAGTCCTGGAGGACTCCCGCGGCTTCGCGATGAGCTGCATAGTGCCCAAGAACCTCACCGGCGGCCTCATCGGCCGCGGCGGCCAGAACGTCCAGAAGGTCAAGGAAAGGACCTACGCAGACATCTCCATCCGGCCGATTCCCGATGACCCCGACCACAACAGCTTGAACATCGTCGGCCCCCTGCCCAACGCCTGCGCGGCGTATATGCTCATGATGAAGCTTTATTTGGACGCCGAGGATTCCGCCGCCAGCTGAGGAACCCGCGGGTGCCAAGGCGCGATGCGCACATCCGCCAGGTCTTCTCCGACCCAGCCAGCGCAACTTGTTGGGTGCCTGGCACGTGCCACAGTAGGTGAGGAAACCACGCCCCAGGCTTCTACAAGATCCTCAGGAAAAAAAAGCACCGCATCGTCATCACCATCCCCCCTCATCATCATCCTGACCCTACGTCTCGTCATCCTCATCTTCCCATCCTCATCTTCCCCCTCATCATCATCATCATCATCATCATCATCATCATCATCATCATCATCATCATCATCATCACCATCATCATCATCATCATCATGACCTCACCCTCAGCATCCTCGTCCTTACTACCATATGTTTCAAAACTCTCACCATCCTCATCAGTTCCTTTCCTATCCCTCCTTCTCCTCAGTCCTCACTCTTCCTCCTCCCCCTCAGAATCGTTCATCGGCCTCCTCCTGTCCCTGCTCGGAGTCCTTCTTGTCTTCACCATCGTAAACAGACGTCAGAGGAGACAGACTAGGTCAACCACCTGATTGCTTCCACTGACTTTCGCTGTCTCGCCATTTCGCTTCCGATGGCTGATGATGTGGATCCATGATCGCTCGCAGTATCTCCAAGTGGAGCCCACAAGGGCTCCAAGAGGGCTGACCCCAACGATCGCTTCAGGAGCGCTCCAAGAGGGCTCCAAGAGGGCCCCAAGAAGGCCCTAGAGCAGGGATCAATGAGTGGCAGGCCCCAAGAAGGCCCAAACACATACCGAAGCGATTCCAAGATAGCCCCAAGGCGGTGCAATGTGTCTAATACAGCTCCCAAGGGGGTCCTAAGAGCAAATACATGTTCAACATCGACCTAACAAATCACCCAACTCAACCCTCTGCAAACGCTTTGCGAACATGTGCAGAACCACGCAATGCGTAAGAACACATTTAAGGAGCCGCGGCACCCCTGAACGCGTTTCCAAATAACGGAAGACCGAACTCAAATTAGTTAATTCACGCACTTCATGTCACGACGGTTCAAATCGTAAATTAGGAGACGACGACGACTGCGCCATGGAACATGAGAACGGGGGCCAAGAGAGCAGGAGGAGAGATTGTGGGGTGCAGATTCTTCGGCCAGGTACATCCACGACAACTCGCAACCCCGCCCCTGCGCTGCGGGTTCGGACGGGGCAAGCCTAATTCCAATTCCAAAAATTCCCGCGAACCGCGCGGGGCTTAGGCGCCAGGCCGCGCGACTGCAGCGCGAGACTGCTGCACATCTCTGGCCAACTTAGGCTCGGGCAACGAGGAATCCGGCGGATGGCAGCAGCAGTGCTGCATGCGGACCCTCCCACCGGAGCCTTCGGTGGAGCTCCGCATGGGGCCACGTAACGCGCGAGACGTGCGCCGGAACTGGGGGTGGAACCGCATGCGGATCCTGCCACTGTGTCTTTCGGTGGAGCTCTTTATGGGGCCACGAAGCGTGTGAGGAGCACGCTGGTATGAGGTGTGGGGCCGCATGAGGACCCTCCCACCGGAGCCTTCGGTGGAGCTCCACATGGGGCCACGTAACGTGCGACAAGTGCGCCGATACTGGTGGTGGAGCCGCATGCGGATCCTGCCACGGGGTCTTTCGGTGGAGCTTCTTATGGGGCCACCCAGCGTCTGAGCAGCGCCCTGGTATGAGGTGTGGGGCCGCATGAGGACCCTCCCACCGGAGCCTTCGGTGAAGCTCCGCATGGGGCCACGCAACGCGCGAGAAGTGCGCCGAAACTGGTGGCGGAACCGCATGCGGACCCTGCCACGGGGTCTTTCGGTGGAGCTTCTTATGGGGCCACGAAGCGTGTGAGGGGTGCGCTGGTATGAGGTGTGGGGCCTCATGCGGACACTGTCGCTGGGGCCCTCGGTGGAGTACCCTGTGGTGCCGCGGAATGTTCGAGGGGTTCAGCGACCGATCTGGAGGGTGGATCCGCATGCGGACCCTGCCTCTGGGTTTTTCGGTTTAGCTCCAAATGAGGTCACGAAGCGTGTGATGGGAGCGGCGAAATGTGGTGCGGAACCGGACGGGACCTGTGGTGGAGCCCCTCTATGGCGCCACGAAGCGTGTGATGATGGGATGCGCCGGAATGGGGGGTAGAATCGCATGCGGACCCTGCCATTGGGGCCTTGGGTGTAAGGGTGCGGCGAAATGGGGGGTAGATTCGCATGCGAATGCAGCCATTGGGGCTTTCGGTGGGGCCTTTGCGGGGCCACAAAGCGCGCGAGGGGTGTGCGCCGAAGCAGGAAGAGGGAAGATGATGACGATGCTGATGACGCTGACGCTGACGCTGACGCTGACGCTGACGATGATGATGATGGTGATGATGATGATGATGATGATGATGATGCTGATGCTGATGACGCTGACGCTGACGCTGACGCTGACGCTGACGATGACGATGACGATGACGATGATGATGCTGATGATGATGAGGATGATGATGATGATGCTGATGATGATGACGATGACGATGACGATGACGCTGACGCTGACGCTGACGCTGACGCTGACGATGATGATGATGATGATGATGATGATGATGATGATGATGATGATGATGATGATGATGATGATGATGATGATGATGATGATGAGGAGGAGGAGGAGGAGGAGGAGGAGGAGGAGGAGGAGGAAGAGAAAGAGGACGAGGAAGAAGAGGAGGGAGGAAGGATACAGGGAGCGATTTCAATGATCAGTGCTGCAAGGAAAAAGGAGGCAAGACAGGCAAAAGCGCGCGGGGGCGGGGGCGGGAGGGAGGCTGGGCGGCGCCTGATGGCCGCGTTCTCGTGGAGAACGCGGCGCGGCGCGGCGGCCGCCGCGGCGCTCGCTCCCCCCTCCTCGAACGCGCTTCCCGCTCCCTTCGCTCCTGCCGGCTCTCTGCCCCGGGTGCAGGGCCCAGGCGAAGGGCCTCTCCAGAACCTCTGGTCAGGCTCTGGGCCCCAGCTCCGCCGAGTCCGGTGGCGCAGACCCGCGGGGCAGCTCTCGGAGCTGGGAGGTTCCGGGGCGCCCGCACGCTGCGCACCAGGTCGCGTCTCTGCTCGGGCCAGAAGGCCAGAGAGCGCGAGCTGTGCGCCTCCCTCGCTCGGACACGAGCGGCCCCCGAAGGCCTGAGGACAGCACGGGGTTCCCAGGAAAGCGGTCAAAGAACCAGCACTGGCACAGCGTCCACATTTGCGACACAGGCCAAAGCCGCTTCTGGGCAGGGGTGTTGCGCGCGCGCTTGGGGAGGGCGGGGGGGTTCTCTGCCCCTCCTTCCGTCACGTCCTCCGTAACACAGCAAGTGGCTCTGCACCTTGCGAGCGAGACCGTCGGCCATCTGAGCCGACGAGGACACGGCATAAAGGGACTCGAATTCCGGCTTTGAATTTGTCAGCAAGAGAGTCGGCGATAGCGTTGGCAGTCACATGTCCTGACTACGGTCACATGGCTAGACCTTCCTCAATGGACAAATGACTGGGGACCCTGATGACCACCAGATCCCTTACGCGGCACAGCTCACGGGCGCGGCCCCACAAATTGCGGTGACCCTTGATGCGGGCAAAGTTTCCAGACAGCGCGCGGGCGACCCCTCGAGAGACGTGAGCGGAATCGGCGATATGACGTACAATTCTGATCCCTCCTCTAGCTCCGCCAAAGCAGGATCCGATTCAGGTGGAGCGTCGGGGTCGTCCTCCTCGCCATCTGTCCAAGAATTCAGGGCTCCTCGCCCGCCAAGTGCAGATGCTGGAGGAGCAGCGGTGGGCTCTTGGTGCCGACTCTCATTTTGACTCCCCAGCTGCTCGGCGCAGCCTGCTTCCCTGGAGGTTCGGCCCGCGCCTCTCGAGTTGCATTTCCTCTCGAGTTGAATTTGGCTTGGATCGCTTGCTGGCGGGGTCGGGAAGCTTGCGAGGACGCGCCGAGTGATCAAACCCACGAGGGCGAGGAAGCTTCCAAGCCATCGCTCGGTCAATGCTGAATTCCAACGAGACTCGGATACCATATCGAGCGCGCCCCGATTCCTCCACAGCTTCGGAATCCGCCGAAATATCGGACATGACCCAATAATCCAACATCCAGCCCGACCCTAGAGCACAAGTCCGAGAAGTATTGGTCGGCACTGCTATGACTCCGCTGACGAGGTCGACCCATCCTGACTTGGATAACTTGGTGGGCGTCATGTTCCAGTCACCTACCGCAATCCGCATGCCACACATGGTGTTGAGATGTGTTGAGAAGACCGCCGAGGTGAGAAAGCTTCTGCAGGTCACCCTTGGCCCCGACGGACGGCGTCATGTAAATCCCCACGATGAGCAGGGACTGGTCCTGCGCTCTGAGCTGCACCGCCGCCAAACCACGAAACTCAAGGCCAGGCGGTTTCTCCGCCAAGTCAAGCTGCCGAATACCCACTTGACCATGGGCCGAAGATGCCAGTTGCCTGAGCGATTCAGCGCGACACCGTTTGATAGCTCCCATGCTCTCTCCACCTGCCTTGCGACGATCCTTGGTCGGACAGGCCGCAGAGTGAATACCTGGGCATGCTGCTTACCGCCACTCGCCGAGCAAATCATTCGAGCCCTCAGGCGGCACGTGCGTCTCCGGCACCACGATCACGCCCGCAGGGTGCCACGGGGCCTGCGCGCGAGCGGCCGGCCCCCAGCCACTCAAGTTGCGCGTGCAGATCTGACGGAGCCTTGGGCCCGATCCCGCAAGCGGGCCCGAAGAAGGTGCCAGCAACGGTGAGCGTGTGCCGCGCCCCGTCCATCACGGCCCCCCAGCTCCTGGCCGCCTGCCCCTTGCTGCTCGCAACGCCGTGCGTGTCGGGGCATCGCCCAACCCGACTCAGCACGGCGCTGCATGGGTGACGCCGAGGTGGACCTAGGAGGGGCAGTGGGCAAGGAAGACGCCGTCAGCGATCATCTTGTGCCGTTGCCCCGTCCATCACGGCCTCCCAACTCCTGGCCGCCCAGCCCTCGCTATATGCAACGCCGTGAAGGTCGCGGCACCGCCGAGACCGACGCCACAGGGCGCTGCAGGGGGAGCGGCAACGAGGGGCTAGGCGAGGCAACAGGCGCAGGCGAAATCGATGAAAACGAAGCCACCGAGGATAGCGCCAAAACACATTGGAACAATTGGGAACATGAAGA